TTACCAGAGATCCAGAAGGAGCATCGTAATCTACTTCAAGAACTAAAAGTAATTCAAGAAAATGAACATGCTCTTCAGAAAGATGCACTTAGTGTTAAATTGAAACTTGAACAAATAGATGGTCACATTGCAGAACATAATTCTAAAATAAGATATTGGCAAAAAGAGGTGAGATTGTTACCATTTGGTTAAATGTAACTTTAAAATATCTTCTATGATAAAGGGTTAGACTATTGTTTTGTTGTGATTCTTAATTCCATGATATAATTATTATATAAAGATGATCTGGGTAATTTTTAGAATTTGTCAACATTTTCATCCAAGGGTTAGAGATTCAACAGAAGACTACATGAACACTTTTGAAACAATAAACTATTTTTCTTTAAAAAGTAGTTGATGTGCAAATTAGTCACAAATCTTTAGTATGTTATTTTAGTAGATAAATAATGTCATATTGTTGATCTGATTCTTTTTAAGCAATAAATTGTAGTACTGTACCCTAACTCATCATCTAAATTGAACTTTTAGATTTCAAAAATATCACTGCATCCTATAGAAGGTAATCCTATTGAAGAGATTTCAGTTCTGAGCCCAGAGGATCTTGAAGCAATTAAGAATCCAGATTCTATAACAAATCAAATTGCACTTTTGGAAGCCCAGTGTCATGAAATGAAACCAAACCTTGGTGCCATTGCAGAGTATAAAAAGAAGGTATGAATACACTGTTAATGAATAATAGAAATTCTTTTTAGTCCTTAAATTGTGACCTTTAATTTTATATAATGTATTCTCATCTCAGATTGAATAGATGTTATTTCTCATGATAATATTCTTTTCATAGGAAGAACTGTATTTACAACGGGTAGCAGAATTGGACAAAATTACTTGTGAAAGGGATAATTTTAGACAGGCATATGAAGATCTTCGGAAACAAAGACTTAATGAATTCATGGCAGGGTTTTATATAATAACAAATAAGTTAAAGGAAAATTACCAAATGCTTACTTTGGGAGGTGATGCTGAACTGGAGCTTGTAGACAGCTTGGATCCTTTCTCTGAAGGAATCATGTTCAGGTTTGTAAATCAAATACTGAGTTTTGCATCCTCCTGTTACATCTCTCTTTATATTCTCCAAACTTAGTATTCAGCAAATTTAATTTTACATAGTATTCATCTAGTTTGTCCTATTTTTAATTTTCAAGTCATTTCGACATTCTTATTTTAAAATTGCAGAGCAGAAATGCATTAGAAATGGGGAAATAGCAAGAAGTACTTATTAGCCTACTGTTTAAAAGTTTTTGAGATGTTCCTGTGTGTTCATCCTCTTATAACATTTTTATAAAATTATCCCCCAAAAGTTTAGAATTGTGAAGAACAATTTAGGATTCCCAAGGAAGGTGGTAGAAGCCAGTTATGGGAAACAAACAACAGCCTTAACTTAAGCTTTACAAGTAATTTGACTAACAAGAGATTTTCTTAATTTCAGTGTTCGACCACCTAAGAAAAGTTGGAAGAAGATCTTTAACCTTTCAGGAGGAGAGAAAACACTTAGTTCATTGGCTTTAGTATTTGCCCTTCATCACTACAAACCCACTCCCCTGTACTTCATGGATGAGATTGATGCAGCCCTTGATTTTAAAAATGTGTCCATTGTTGCATTTTATATATATGTAAGTAATCATTTAGAGGTTTTCATCCTAAAAATTTCATGGGTTCCCTAAACATTACACATGGAATTCTTTGACTTATTTTTTCTTTAGCTTTTTCCCTGTTCTCTAACTCGATGTCCTTGGGTATCAAAGGAAACAAAGTCCTTTACTTGAACCAAGTATTTCCATTCGGGGAAAGTAAAATATAAATTGATAATGTGTATTAGCAGTAAAAACACAGCTGGAATCTTGAGTCTCCTTGCCTAGATCTTTTTTTCACTAGAAGACTTATAAGCAACTATGCTTCCAAAAATATTCAAATTCCTGTCAAATCCAAATACTGTTTCACAAATTATCCGTGCCATCATTCCTGTTCATGATGATAATAATGTAATTGAATTTATTGCCTAAAATATACTTTAGAGAAGTAAAGCTTAGATGTTTATGTGATTTACCTATTAATACTTAATGTTTCTGTTCTTTCTCTTTAGGAACAAACAAAAAATGCCCAGTTTATCATAATTTCTCTTCGAAATAATATGTTCGAGATTTCAGATAGACTGATTGGAATTTACAAGACATACAATATAACAAAAAGTGTTGCAGTAAACCCAAAAGAAATCGCATCTAAAGGACTTTGTTAAACTTGTTTATACTGAAAATTCCTCAACTTGAATCAGCATAGAGTCAGTGTATTGTATTACTGATTTTTTATTTGTAAAGGATTATAAACTGTATAAATAAACATATGTTCCTAAACTAGATAATATAACTGGCTTCTAGTTTATGCTGTTAAAAGTGTAATAAAATATTCTCTACCTGCTTTTAGGAGATAAGAATCTGATAATCTTGTAAGTAGCAGACTGGTGAAAATAAGGTGCCTAGAGGGTTGGGTTATTGCCTTTTTTCCCAAATTGCTATGACCATAGTTAAAAGTATGTTGATTAACAGTAAAGTTCTAACTTAATTCATATTATCAAGATAGCATATCCTCATGGACCTTTGCCCTACAGTGGAAAAACCTGCAAACTACTATTGTATAAATTCTCAAAGTATTCCACTTAATTTACTAATTGAGACAATCACTGTTTTCCCCAAATACTGAAGACATTTAACTCAGTCATTCTGAATTACAAGGATGAGAATTTAAACATGCTTTCCTAAAACTTGTTTAAAACACTAGCAAGAGGGCCAACAGAGTGTCTGAACATGACTTTTCAACATATTGCATATGGTGAAAAGAAATGCCCACTATAGTTGCTTCATAAAAAGATGAAGTATGTGTTAACTTCCTTAGTGTAAATCGAAATTAAGATGGAGGGCTGTTCGCCTACCAAGTTGTCAGGGTTTTGTGTTTTTGTGGGGTTTTGTTTTGTTTTGGTTTACTCTGTTAGCTTGAGAACGTTTAGAATGCTACTAGAAATAAGTTGGCAACTACTTGGCTTTCAGAAGGAATTTTGGTATTGAATCAGAAGTCTTTGCTGTAGCCATTCAATTTTTAGATATTGATCCTGAGGACTTAATTAAAATTAAGAATTAGCGTAATATTCAGTGAAGCATTGTTTAGATACTAATAATGCAACAAAAAAGGTTTATTATAACAGCCATTAAAAATGTAAATAAATTAGCTTGACTTAAAGCAAGATTTAGAACTCAAGTATGGTCATTTGTTGTAAATCAAGTTTATAAAAGGGAAAAATCACTAGAAAACGCTATAATCATCACATGCTTTTAACATTGGTGAGAGTAGAGGTGAGTGGAATACTCCCATTACATTTTTATAACTAATGCAGTAGAGATTAGTACTAAGTTTTCAAGAGTTAAGGTAGATGATACCCATAACCCATATGAAAATTCCAAAGCTATACCACTTTGAGTTTGAGTGCCTTATTAAGCCACTCGGTATAAATATCAAAATGAGTTTATTAAAATATATTTTGTTATACATGACACTTAAAAATATTTCAAGATTGTACACTTTAAATTTTACAATCTCATCCTCCTGGTAAAAATACAAAAACAGCATGTTTAAGAATCAGTTATTTGTATACAGGCATACCTTGGAGATATTGTGGATTCGGTTCCAGACCACTGCAGTAAAGCTAGTCACACCAATTTTTTGGGTTTCTAGTACATATAAAGGTTACATTTATGCTACACATATTGCAGTCTATTAAGTGTGCAGCTGCATTATACCTAAAAAAAAAAAAACAATGTAAACTTTAAGATGTTTTGCTAAAAAAAATGCTAAATCGTCTGAGCCTTTAGGGAATCATAATCTTTTTGGCACAGACAGATCTGCTCTCAAAGCAGGGTTGCCATGAACCTTCGATTTGTTAAAAAAAAAAAATATTTGGCAAAGTGCAATAAAAGGCAGGCCTGTACTTAACTATATATTTATGCACACTACATAAAGTTTTATCTACTAAAAACTGGCAGATTTACAAAAGTGATGTTAAACTGAAAATGTTAACAGTTTTATACTTGTTTTTAGCTATGATTCTTAAGCTGCAATAAAAATCTTGGCTTAAATCTTTTAAAGGTAGCATGACACCATGGCTTGGACAAATTACACTGTGTCTATTCGTCTACAAAATAAGGGTTCACACCTACCTAAGAAATGTGAGATTAACTGATACATAAGAGCTAACATTTAGTAGAAATAAGCACATTTCAGTACTTACTAATATTTACATGTATTTAAAAGTACATGGTGTTTTTGTGTTCTGAATAATCAATTCAGTGCAACTTCAGTCTAAAGTTAATAGGTATTTCGAGTTAATAGGTATTTATTTCTATCTCAATTGCTGTATTATCTTCACCCCCATTACACCCTTCAGATGTTCTTTGCCCACACAGTAGTTAATTGTGCTAGGTATATTCTGATTCTGGTCATAAATGGACCTAATGCGGCCAACCCTCTTAGTGCTTGAGGCTCTTTTTTAAGCAGAATTCAAGAAAATAAGATGTTTGGTATTTTGGCATTGGTATGAGAATGTCTGGCAGAAAATTTAACACAGTTAACATGATGCTATCCAAGTCTGGTGAGGATGGTATATTCTGTTCTAACATGTTTTGAGTTTTTATCCAAGAACTGATTTGACTAACAACTAAATAAAACACTACACGAAAGTTAAAGTTAAATCTTAAATTTACACAAACCATAGGATAAGTATTAGCAAATGTCGCTCTTTGTTCCCTAACCCCACTTCCAAAAGCAGTAGCTTTATTAGGAATGAATGCTGATAAACATTTTAGGGCTCTTAAATCTATCTAAAACAGATTAATGTGTGGATCAGGTACGTTTGGTCAAAAACATTTTTAAGCAATCTCTTATTTTAGACTGCAGCGTGATTTTTAAACCATCTCATCATCATCCTTTTATTTGTCCATTCAAAAGCTTCAAGCCACATCAAAAGTAAAGGCAGAGACACTTGCAGGATTCTGCCATCTTTTAATCTAAAAGCTATGTAATGAAGAGCTGCAAAACCAACCACTGAAGTATATTAACAACAGTAAAAGACAATATTAGTACAAGGATGTTTAAATGCCACAGCAATGTTAAGTCAACCTCTGAAGCCAATAAAAATGGGATAATGTATAAATACTCCGGTCAAACTTACTAGATTTTATTCTAGTTTTCAAACTGAAAACTAGAGACATGGTTTCGTTTCTGACACATTTCTATCCAAAAGAAGCATGAAAGGTTTAAAATATTTATATCTGTTGCAAATTTAATAAAGTTTAGCTTGCCCTTTTGTTTATCCATGCCACCCCCATTTCCCCATTTAGTAATGGTTGTTAGTCTTTATAGAATAAGCCTATTTAAACAATTTAAATATGAATTTTCAACGATAAACTATTTTCCATATGAATTCCTTAAGTAAATATAAAGCGCGACACAGTATATTCTTTAAGTCATGCAGATTGTTAGATAAACTTTGGTAAACAGATAAAGAGACTTCAGAAAAACATATTGAAGTGATTTCATTTAGAAAGGTAATTATGTGTTGGTTAAAAAAGAGGATCAACATCAGTATCACTGAAATTAGTGTGACTATAACAATGTTTAGAATCTTAAAAAATTCAACTTCCTTTTCATCATCAGGCCAAGAACATGGCATTCTTTTTGAAGAAATTTTCATTTCAGGAATGTGAAGTTTCTTAATTTGTCCAATTTCTGTTCTGCTCCAATCTTCTTTCAATACTTGGCTTACTCGAGGACAAATTTCAACAGGCCGGACATCAGGAAGTGGTCTTTGTTTCAAGATCTGCACACGCTGGCGGACATCATCAAGTTTTTCAAGAAATTTAAGTGGAGATTCCTCTTGTAAAGATGTTGTCAATGTCATTAATTCAAACTGCTGCTCTCTCATTTCTTTCATTCTTTCAATTTGTGGAACATATTCTTGATTAATCAGATTGGCAACATCACAGAGAGCAGTTAGGAAAATTTCTTTTTTCTGTTCTAATGTATCACTAAGCTCCTTAAAATACCGGAGAACAATTTCCTTATCACTTTGGACCATTTTCTCCGAAAGAGATTTTTGTTCTTCCAGCTTTTCAATTAGACGAGTAATATCTGTCCAGTGTGTGTCAGTTAACTGTTCAAGCAGTTTTTGAGGTGTGTCCTTTTCTTTCAGATAGGCACTCTGAAGATCATCTATAGGATGACCATGATGTTGACCTATGGTAAGGCAATGACCGCAAACTAATTTTTTATCTAGTAGACAGTAAACATTTAATGGTTGCCTGTAATGTTCAGGGCAAGTGATGAGATCTGGATGGTCTTCTTGCTGGTACTTTTCAATAATAGCCCTTAATGCAAAATTAACAGGTAAAGACTCAATACCAGTTGGAGCAATTTCTATAATACTTCTGCAATTAGGGCACTTGAGTGGAATCCGTAAAGGTCTCCATATATAAAAGTTACCAGATGCCTGGAGAACATTTTCCAAGCAGTTTCTACAAAATGTATGAGAGCATGGTAGTACACGAGGATCTTCAAAAATACTATAACAAATGGGACAGGTTAACTCGTCCTCAAAATTGTGCATTTCCTGTCAAAAGAGAAAAGTATTTTAAGTCTACATATAACAAAGATACCTGCACATATATAAAGTTTTAACTGTTAACCTCCAAACTGTTAATACACTGTTGCTTGTCATTTAAAAGAGGATAACTGAGGTATTTACTAAGATTTTTTTAAATGTAGCTTTCTTAGTAATTAACTCCTAATATATAATATGGAATAACTGATCATCATTAAAAGCTTATTACTTTGAGATAAAAATCATGCTAAACCAGTTCTAATTAATTTGTAATAAAATGCTTCAAATTAAAAGTTTGTTCCTATGTAATTACTAAAAGTCAAAGGGTTCTATTGAAGTCTACTTAATGATTATAACTATTCTGTGCAACTTTTTACATTGTAAAATGTTAAAATAAATTAGGCTTAGCAAAATTATATTCTTTAATTTAAAAGAATTCACACTCTCAGTTGGCTCAACCAAAGCAAGTTATTAAATTTCTCTAATAACTGTTACTATAAATTTCTTAGCTTCTTGAATTGGACTACCAGTATGCTTAAAGCCCAGGATCAGCATAGTGTAATATTCGAAAGCAATCATTTTAATTTGAAGATTTAGAAAGGAAAAAGTTTTGAACTGGACCCTGCAATAAAAAGCAGTTTAAAAGATGAAGTGTTGATCGTAGTGACCACGGGAGCATGAGTGGTAAAAAACACCTACAGTCATCTTTCCTTAAAGAAGTCCAGCAATAGTTCAGAGACCCTCTCTGACAAAAGTAACTTGACCTTTTGGCAAGCTATTACTGACATTTCCAATTACAGAAGCCTAACAGTTTTGTACCCTACCTACCACCTTTTAAAATCTTCCTTTGTACTTATTAATGCAAGCCACGATCCTCAGGACTGACTTAGCCCTAACAGAGAAAAATCAAATTACACCACTATTTAAAGAACCTTAAAGCAAAACGAAAACCCCAACTGCCATTCATGTAAAATAAAGGTTACCAAATGCTTATCTATAAAAAAAAAGTGAGAAAACAACATCTACAAATAACTAATTGTATTTTTAATAAACAAAAACTTCTTTAGACTTTTTAGCTCTATGCTCCTACCTACCATTTTTGAAGCCTAACTCATTGATGCTTCATATCAATTTCAGCCCTTCCACCTCCCCACATTTAGGTGCCCTGTTGGTCACACTGAACACTGCACTTCTACTTTATAGCACTTAACTGGATTTCATTTAAAAGAATTTTGTAACATGTTTCTATACATTAGAAGGTAAGCCTGCAATAAGGGCAAGAATGTGTCTCAGCACAAAATGTGACATGTAGTTGACATTCAGTCACAACTGGTAAACACTGCCTCTTAAGATACCAACCTTAAATGTCAGATCTTAGGTTTTTGGTTCCATTAAAATAGCAAAATCTCTACTTTCTTAGGAAAAGCTTTAAAAGAAGAGTCCATCAGAAAATACACTCCATTTAGACTGACCAACATTTAGAACCCTAATAAGCCAGGATGTGTCACATTGAGACTAAGCTTCAACTGTGAAACATCCCAGGAAACTAATGTAACTGGGTAACAGTACAGAAGATGATATTCGCTGCACATAAATTCAAGTGAATGCATGTTGGGAAGACTTTCTGACTTCATCCTATACCTACAGAAAGCTCTGAAATCATACAGAAACCACCCAAGAAAAACAAACATGTTTCTCAGAGTATTTCGCTGATGTCAGAATTCATAATGAAGGAATAAAAAGAACAGCACTTAGCAAGGAATAAAATTTGAACCATGGACATATGTTCAATTTAGATTTAATATTAGAGCTATTTAATGTTTAAATACAAAATTATCCCTAAAACAGAATCCAACCTTTCCCTTCAAAGTCCTCTATTTGTCAAAAGCTAAACATTTTCCCTGAGAACCTCATTAAGGAACCCCAAAAGCTCAACTTTTCTTCAGAATGAGGATATTCACAATACTGTAAAGAAAATATCAACTCCTGAGTTCATATAGGAATGGAAGCAAATATAGTCTCAAAAGTTACTTCCATAGTATGAAAAATTTCTAACAAAATCTAATCAGAAATGTGGGGGTAACTTGAAGATATGAAAATCAAATTCTACTCTTGGACTACTCTCTTCTTGCTGACTTATTAAAAACTAATTTTAGACAAATTCCTGAGAAGTCAGATACTGGTTAACAGAAACAAGCCTGGATGAAATAATTATAAGGCCAGGAACTTTCTGATTCTAGTTGCTGCCTGAGAAACAGAAGATATTGGTGGTTCTCATGCTTAAAGGTTTATTCTTCCAGGAACGAGTATGAAATTTTATGTACCAGAAATTTTCCATAAGCAAATCTAGACCCTTGAGGGGGAGAAAAGGAGCAAAAAACTTTAGCAATGTATATTCTCTAGGATGAGTATCTTAGATTTAGCTTGTGTCCAGTATGTCTGTAACAACACTGGACACTAGGAAGACAACGTAACAATGCCTTCAACACTCAGGAAAAATGGCTTCAACCTAAATTCTATACTCAGAAAAATAAATTTTCAGGTTAAAGATAGTTTGACATTAGAGTTCTCAAAATTGAACACCTTCCCTCCCTACTTTCTAAAGAAGCTACTGCACTGTGAAAAGAAAATAATTCTCACCAGGACAATGATGAAATGAAGTCAAGGAAAACTGTACAGCCTAGAGAACAAGTAGCCTGGAGGAAAAAAACAGAGATCCAGAAGGAGTGCTTTTAAGTAAGTAAATGGAACTGACAGACTATTTCATGTATCTGAACATATTGAGAGGTAATGAGAAAACTAAATTTAGGAAAAAGTGACAGAATCATGAAAAGAGAAAATACAGTATATTATATATGTCATATTAGTCATAATGTTATAAAAATTAAATACTGATTTTACCTAAAAGCATGACTGTCACAGACTAAATGTTTGTGTCCTCCCAAAATTCATATATCGAAATCCTAACTCTTTATGTGATGGTATTAGGATGTGGAGCCTTTGGAAAGTAATTAAGTCATGAGGGTGGAGCCCTCATGAATGGGATTAGTGCCCTAATGAGACAGGAGGGCTTGCCCACCCCCTTCCTCTTCCCATATAAGGACACAGCAAATAGAAGGCCAGAACCAAAAAAGAGAGCTCTCACCAGAACCCAACTATGCTGACATTTTGATCTTGTATTTCCTCCAGAACTGTAAGAAATAAATGTCTGTTGTTTAAGCCACCCGCTCTATAGTATTTTTGTTAAAACAGCCCAAACTAAGAAAATGACATAATTATATTGGGGGGAGGGAATATGGGAAGGAAACAGTGTTTAAGAACTAAATCTTAATCTTCCCTTATAGGAAAGAAGTCAATACATACCTAAAACTGAAAAATTAAGAAATCGCATTACTTGCATATTATTTAGAAATACAAAAGCAAATATCAAAAGAAAATTTTAAAAGAAATGAAAGTGATTGCTCTAGTGTGCAAGAATCTGGAGTGGGGAGATTGAGAGCAGGAGCTATTTTTCATTATAAACTTAAATAATGCTGTTTTACTTTCAACTATTTACATGCGATTAAAAATATGAAATTTTAAAGAAAGAAATAAAGACCATCCTACAAGCATCCAAGCAGAAAAGATACCTTAAAAAGGAAAACAAAATCATAATGGTCTCAGAACTCTCCTCTGGGAGATTTTAATTTCCAAAGATGGCCACAACAATCATCCACATGAGCTCTTCCGCAATGTTACTTTGCCAGCACTCCCCAAGTATGAGATGAAACCTATTCTCCCCACCAAAAAAAAAATCTGGACATGTGACTGCTCTAACCAATGGGATACGGTGCAAGTGATGCTATGACAGTTCTGGATACAGTCTTTAACTATCCTGGTAGGCTGCTGCCTCTTAAAGCCACAAACCGCTAAAAAGTCCAGGCTACTCTGCTGAGAGAGGCCAAGTAGAGAAGCAATGAGGTGCCTGCCACACATGTAAGTGAAAAAGCCATCCTGGACACGCAGCCAGCCAAGCCTCAGATGTTTGTTACACAGCAGCTCATCTCCAAATAACCAGATAACCAGAATATCTCCAAAGCAACAAGGAAAGTTAAAAGACAAAGTAGTAATATCCACAGGGTCTGGAAGGCAAAGAACATGACCTAAGAATTCTGTAAGTAGCCAAGATGTAATTTTTTTCATATGAAACAATAAAAATATTCAGCAAAACCTATAGGTTTCTAAAGATCAGCGTTGAAGCCATATACTTTCATTACCAAATAAAAGAAATATAAAAAGAATTCATTAAAAAAAGAAAGCTGACCTAGGAAAAGCAGAGGAAAAGATAAATGAGGAAAACAGAAAATTGTTAGAACCGATAACCCCAAGAGCTAGCTCCTTAAATAAATTAGCCATTAGCCTACAAGATGGCTCCCAAAGACTTCTACCTTCTAGAAGCCACATCCTTTTGTAATTCTCTCCCCGCTGGTGTGGGCTAGATCTAGTGACTCTTCTAATAAACTGAATACAGCAGAAGTAACTGGATATCACTTACAGGATTTTGTAATAAAAAGACCATGGCTTCCACCTGGAATGCTCTGGCTCTCCATCTCTCATGAGTCACTCTCGACAAGGGAAGCAAGAGGACATGTTGTGGGCCGATCAATGTCTACTTGTGACAAGGAACTAAGAGACCCCCAAAAACTGAAGCCTGCAAACTACTACATAAATGAGTTTGGAAGCAGACACTTCATGTTTGGTGAAATCCTGCAATGAAAGCAGCCTCAGCTTGACTGCAACTTCATGAGAAACCTTGGGTCAGAGGCACTCGGCTAAACTGCTCCTAGATTCCTGCCCCACAGAAACCATGCTTTAATATTTGCTACTTAAGTTTTAGGGATAATTTGTTACGTAGCAATAGATTAATATGTTATCCAAATCAAGAGGGAAAAGGAACAACAAATGTACAAAGTGAGCATTAAAAAATAGGATAAACCAGAGAAAAAGTCAAAAGTATAGGGAATTTATTACATAACTCTGTTACTACACTTGAAAATCTGTAAGAAGTGAATTATTCACTATGTAAGTTCAAATACCTAAGATGATCAGAGAAGATAAGGCAAACCGTGAGAGAAATTTACAGGCTAGAAAAGAGCTACTCTGAAAAAAAAGGGGAAGTAGAGGGGCGAGCTTCTCTGGTGAGTTCTTTCAAAGGGTCAAGAAACAATTTCTTGTTCAGCTGTTCCAGAATACAAAGATGTAAAGTTTGCAAATTGTTTCAAAGATAGTATACCATGATTCCAAAACCTAGCAAATATAAAACAAAGTAATAATAGACTAATTTCAAAAACAGATACTAACGTAAAATCCTGAACACAATATTAGCAAAAACAAATCCAGAGTACATTAAAAGAACATGGTACAATAACCAAATAAGGTTTTTTTCCAGACATGTAAACTTAATTCAGTAACAGAAAATTATTCAAATAGGTAAATGGAGAAAAACTGTATGGTCACATTAGATGTGAAAAAGCAAGAGGACATGTTGTGGGCCGATCAACACAATATAAAACCCAATAAGGAGTTCACAAAGACAGAAAGTGGTTATAAGTAGCTAGAGGGAGAAGTGGATGGAGAGTTATTGTTTAGTGGGTACACAGTTTCAGTTTGGGAAGATGAAAAAGTTCTGGATACAGGTGGTGGTGATGGTTACACAACAACTTTTAAATTTTCAAGTTCCTTGCCTACTACCCAGCCTTTCCTCTGCCAAATTAATTTGTGAATCAATTTGTATTACAATTTTAAAACACCGAGTAAAATTTTTTTAAAAACGTATAAAATGTTATTTTCCTCCAGTGAGCACTAAAAGCCCAAGTAAAAACCGATAATTTGGTTCAAGATTTCCTGCTTCCCTTTTAAAAGTCACCAAGAAATATGCATATAAAAAATAAACCTTTTTCAGAAAGAAACCTGAGGCTAAATCATCTACTTACAAATTTCACAAATTTCTTGTATTCAAGTGGCAAAAATAAACACACTTCTGAATTTTTAAACTTTTTTGCACTTTATCCAGAGGGCTGACTTCCTATGGAGTCTCCCAATGTCTAACCAGCCTAATATGAATGGTCAGCACTGATAACAGATGATGGAGAATTAAGCAATACCAAAATATCATTACTCATTCTTCTGTGTAAACTATTTTTTAGTTTTAATTCACTAATGTTACTGTCTTTCATCTCTAAACATGAATGGTTATAAAACATTCATTACATTTTACAGCCTCTGAAGAGAAATTATATTTACTGCATTACTAGATGACTTGCTCTAGTAAGTACACTGTGAGTCACCTATAAGCCTGGGAAAATTCAAGAGGTGCCACCACCCAGATTGGGGCTCACATCTTTGTGGCCCTTACTGATAAAAAGCACATTTCATGAAATTCAAGACTTACTTTAAAAATACTAGAATTGTATATTCTATATACATAGGGCAAGATTTTAAAAATACTTTCGTACATTTAAATGTGCAAAAACAATGAAGAACCACCATAACTCTTTCAAATTAAAAAAAAAAAAAATCCTATGGTCAGATCTGATTTTAACTCTGCCCATTTGTACTGTTTTCCTGCATTCTGACATCAATCTGTTTCCCCAAAGAAAGAAAGAAACTATTAATACAATTTAACCAGGGAGTAAAAATTTACTGAAAATTTCTTTCATATTCACTTGATCTCTCTTGAGCTTACCTTCTTTGTAGATCTTCTGGTTTGGAGACTGAATATATTTTATCTTCTTCAACTTTTTCAGATTCTTTTATTCTTATTCTAAAATTAAAAGAATTTTATCTTAAACATTTTAGAATTTACATTCTCAAAAAATACATTAAATAGGATATCATAGAAATGACTGTTACACCATAGAAATGATTGTTATTTCACTTTGATGTTTACCTTCCCTATACCTCACTGTTTTTAGAAAAGTAGTGACAAATAACAGGAAGGGTATCATTTGTACCTTGAAAGTCCCAACAATTCTGTGACCAAAGTAATTGTCACGCAGGGCCTCCTCTTTAATCAAGTATCTTACCAGCTCTCAAAAATATCAGCCAACAATGGTGATGATGGAGCAAACATTCATGGTCATTTTAGATTGCTTAAAGTTAACTGGAAGATAAGCATCCCTGGCAATAAACGATTTTGCCAGCTTAAAACTATAAATATTGATTCAGGTTACTCCCATCAATACGTTTGTTCATCGTTCAGTTCTGCCACTTAAATGTTGTGGAACCCTGGGTCAGTTTTACCTAATGCATTCAACAACTAATGTTGCACATCTGTAAAATGGGCACAGCTACACCTAGCCGCTGTTAAGTCCCGTAAAAGCTTCTCACAGAGAAAAGGGCTCAAACTAGCAGTATCCTTCCCCTTCTCTCTCTGGAAGGTTTACGATACATCCTCCCGGGCCTCCTCCTAAGGTGCCTCCACCGCGTCGGCGCCCTACGCCCCGAAGCCCCACGACGCTGACCAGCTCCGTGGCGTCCCGCTCCTCTCGCTCTCGCCCTCGCCGCCACCACCACCACCACGACCACAGAGGACCCTCTCCCCCACAGAGGTGTAGTTCTTTGGGGGCGGGGGAGGAGAAACAAGGATCCCTAAACCCCCTATCTGGGATAAGAGGAAGCAGATGCAGGACCCAAGCACACTCTCTCCATCCTCGAGCCCCTCGACTCTCCTCCAAGCGCATCCAATAAACCAGCCTCTGCTACAGGGAAAGAAGAGGGACCCGGGCCGCCTCCTCAGACCTCAGACTCACCGCTGGGAGGAGGGGACCAGGCAACCTCACAGGCCGCGGACAATAGCAGCCCGCATGCAGGACGGCTCCGAGAGCGACTCAGCTTCCCCGCCCTCCTCCGCGGCGAGAGACTTCAGGTGCCTCCGCGGGGCGGGGCTTCGCGGAACCTCTCTGCGCAGGCGCAGTCTCTCGGCAACGTTCGACTGGGCAGCGTTCGCCAATGGGAAAGAGCGCGGGGCTGCCGTTCGAAAGTAAACGGCCGCGGGCGCCTGCCGAGGCGCGGGCGTGCTTGCGGGGGCTGGGGCTGGGCTCGAGGCCCGCGGCGGGTTTGCTGCGCTTGCGCACTAGGCGCAGGCTGCCTCGCGGGAGCCCCTGACCGCGATGCAAGCGGCGCTTCGGCGCGTGGGGGCGCCTCTGGTAGCCCCGGCCCTGGACGGGGGACCCCTCCTCTGGAAACGGGATGGCGCCAATGGCCCCGAGAGGGGCGGGGCCAAGCGGCAGCCAACGATGCATACAAGAGTCATAGGACCATTATTTACGTGGACGTGAAAGCGCGGCGTCTTCCATTGTTACCTCACAGGTTTACCTGCTCGGAGAAGTCGCCACCCGCTCTGAGGGCGCACCCACCCGGGTGGACAAGGTCCGGGCTCGGGCCGTTTCCCTATGTTACGGAATCTTGAGACCTGGATCTACCCGAGTGTTGGTCTGAGCAGGGGAAGAGGGGGCTTCTGATTATATAGTATTCTCTTAAAGAGAACTAACCCTGTGAGAGCTAATGGGACCTTAGGACTCATTAGGACGGCCTCCCTACTTGTCTCCCTACTTGTCTCCCTACTCTTCTAACCACCATCCCTCGCGTTTTTCCACTTTATGAAATTATGGCCTAGAGATGACGGCTGTTGCACAAAATTGACTTCAATTTCAGCACCAAGTTTACATCACCTTCTTAACCCCCTAGAATCAGAAAACATACACTTCAGTAGTCCTTTTCCCTTTTTTCTTGAGAAACTACCCAGCTATGTCTCAAGACATCGCAGCTTCCCTCTCAACTATACTTAAAAGTCATTTACTGCTGTCATAAAATCACGAGCCTTGCTATACTGTGTATTGCCAGTTCACTCAGGTCTTAGGCTCTTACACAATAAATTACAGGAAAATAATAAACGGTATAAAACAAGGTAATATCGGTGGGTCCCAAGTCAACTTCAGATGTCTTCAATTCACCTACTGAAAAGGTTGCTTTATGATGTGTGGATTCCAGCAATGTCCAGAGATAACCACTATTACATGGTGGTGTATACACATTTATTACAGTCTTCCTGATAGCTTTTTGACTTCCTGTCAAAACAATATGTTGTGAATATCTCTCCATAGCAATAAATGTAGTATACTTCTATAAAATTATTCTTAAAAAAAAAAATGTGATGTTAACTACAGACTTTGGATGATTATGATGTCAAAGTAGGTTTATCTTTTGTAACAAACATCACTCATGAGAGGGATATTGATATTCATTTGAGGAGAGGGCAGGAAATATATGGGAAATCTCTGTACATTTCCCTCCATTTTGTTGTGACCCTAAAACTGCTATAAAAAAATAATAAAAATACAATTTTTTAAAATTTAAGCATAATGAATATGACTGAATAATGCTTTGAACCATAATTTTTTCCACTTGCGTTTTCCCCTCTGTACATCTTTATCTAAAAAGAGTTGTGTGTAGCAAGAAAGCAGAAGTAGTTCTAACCAGACTTTACTGTCTATTGTTTTCCAAAAAGCCTCAACCCATTGAGGAAAAGAATATTTCAAGGAAGAGACTGAATGTTCAGGAGAAGCAGAAAGAAATCTGATAGCCCCAAAATAGAGATTACTCAGGCCCTAGTGAAGGGAGCTATGACACCTTCAAGGAAGGGCTATATTTGTTCCTATAGATTTAGAGGCCCATGGGTTACCTACATTGCCAAAGATTTCTGTAACCCAGCATGACCCAGAAGTGCCAGAGAGCTATAGGAGCCTACAAAAACAATGACAGCCTCAGCTGTGAAAACAAGTTCACAGCAGATTCAAGGCCACACTTAAATTTCCGGATGCCCTATCCGAAGACGTGATCATTTCACAGGATCAGAGGATGATTGGTATGTATCGGGTGATTAAGAATGTTTTTCGAGTTTGCCAAGCGCTTCCAGTCGGTGCTGTTGACCTGCGCCTGGTCTCGTTCAGCTATCCCGGCTGTCGGACTGCTTCGCCGCGCGCAGCCGACAGACCCAAGCAAGTGGGCCCGCCCTTGAGCCTGCCGGAAGTGGACGAGTGGCCGCAGCATCAGCTGCAGGTCAAATACTCCGGGGTGGAGATCGGAGCTGGGCAGTGCTAACGCCCACTCAGGTTAAGAACCGGCCAACCAGTATTGCGTGGGATGGCCTTGATCCAGGTAAACTGTGAACCTTGGTCTTGACAGACCCAGATGCTCCCAGCAGAAAGGACTCCAAATATAAGGAATGGCACCATTTTCTAGTGGTCAACATGAAGGACAACAGCATCAGCAGTGGCACAGTCTTCTCCGATTATGTGGGCTCTGGGCCTCCCAAAGGCACAGGTCTTCATTGCTACGTCTGGATGGTTTACGAGCAGAAAGAATGGAATCAGCAGTGGCACAGTCCTCTCCGATTATGTGGGCTCGGGGCCTCCCAAGGGCACAGGTCTTCACTGCTATGTCTGGATGGTTTACGAGCAGAAAGAATGGAATGTGTGACGAGCCCATTCTCAGCAACTGATCTGGAGACCATTGTGGCAAATTCAAGGTGGCATCTTTCCGCAAAAAGTATGAGCTCGGGCCCTCAGTGGCTGGCATATGTTACCAGGCAGAATGGGATGATATGTGCCCAAACTCTATGAACAGCTGTCTGGAAAGTAGGGGAAAGTCAGGAGACAGAAACCATCCTGGAAACCCCAGGCAGAGTTCTCAAGTTCAGTGGTATATGTAGATTTCTCCTCCTCTGTTCCCATTCTCATAGATGAGACCTGAGCAGATAGTAGTTTAGAGTGACTTTTCTTTCTGCCTGTCCTTTATAATAATACAGGGTCACACACCCTGTATAATTTGATCTAATTTGAACTCCATTTTGGGCGATATTTCGGTACTCTGATGGGGTCATCAGACTGTTACTATAGGAATAGCAACCCAGAATTTAAAAAAGAAAAAATTTAGGTAAGAAGAACAGGTCTACAGTAATAGGGCAGAGCATCAAAAAATCTGTAAAGGAAGTTAAAAAATTCATTGCCTCTGCCTTTGTAAGGCTGAGTCCAGAATTATGCATGGTGGAACCCTCTGAGATGTGTTTTCACGGCCCTGTCTCTCACCAGACAACCAGAGCCTGGCATGTACCCCCCAATGTGGTACATCTCAGATTTGTTACTAGATGTCAGTATTCTATTGTGGCTCTTTTAAGGAGCAGTATTAGAAAAAGCAGTGGGGAGAGTTGCTTTCGTGTTGAGACATAGCCATCTACATGAACTGCAGGTCTGGGTGAAAGGTTATCAGAAATTTATTAAGCCTGTGCCTGTTAAATTGATCATTCTTCATTGGTATAAGAAAAGCCTGTCTGGAATTGCTACATGTTATGTTAATTCTGCTATTTGCTTATAGTTGAATAAAATAAAAACATTAGACAAAAAAAAAATGTTTTTCATCTCATATCATTTTTCATCTGTCAAAGAATTATGATAAAAACAATTATGAGTACATTTCTGTGACATATTTCTTGCAGATCTCAGGCCCAAGAATAAATTATTTTTACAGCTAGACTAAGATTCACATAACTATGAAAGCTACATAATTATATCTATTTGTAGCTGGCTGCTAAGGTATTAGTTCCAAATCTTAGAAGCTGACTGATTTTCTCCTCTCCAGACCAAAGAAATTACTTTTCCCCAGATGATTTCTGTATTAGAAATTTTAGCTGCAGCTTCAAAATACAAGATATCAAATATAAAAATGAACTGTAAGGCAGACCACTGTGAGGAATTTATGGAACACAGGGGTTTTGAGAACTAATGAGGGGAGTTTTAACCTCTCACCTTCAGAGAATATGTATAAAGGTTGGGAAAAGGATTTGTAAGGACTCCCTTTGGAAAGATTTCTGGGCCTGCCTCTCCCCCAGTGTCTGCCCCGCACCTTAAGTCTACCGAGAAGGGTTCAGCTATGTTAGCTTGCATTGAGTGGACTGGCATTTACCAGATCTTTGGGAAATCTAAGATGTGATAGCCAGAATGAAGGCGAATTGCTGCTGCACTGGGACTGGCCTTCATTCCCAGAGTTGGTGGGCACTGAGGAAGCATGAGTGTGCCCAAGGGTCAGATGAACCAGTGTAGGGTTGTCTAAGGTCCTGCCGTCTAAGATCATACTAAATAGACGGACAAACAGGCCTCAGCACGGAAACCCTGAAAGTATCCTAGCACTCCTAACAGGCTGCAGAAAGAGGAAACAAGTTGCCTGAGGGGCCCAAGCACACTGCAGGTGAGAAGTCTCAGGCATAGACTCTGAAAAACACCATGAAGGACTCCAAAGAACTTCAAAAGTCTCCAAGGAGCTGCACAAGAGCCCTCATGAGAAAGGAGTCTGCTTCACACATTACCCAGGCACAGAGACTGCGAACTGGGCTTCCATATTCTCCATCAGGTGAGAACTTCCCCTATTCTCCACCCTCCACTCAACACAAGAGGGATGAGAAAGAGCGGGTATTTGGAGGTGAGGGAAGATGGAGAAGAAGTAATTTAGAAGGAAGCCAACCCTGTACCTTCCCCAGGAGCAGTAACCATCCTGAAACAGGCCTTATCTGTGGGGGAGAGAGTAGCTATAGTTTCAAATTAAGTTAGAAGCTTAGACAAGGGGACTAATTTCTGAAATGAGATTGTTTTTGCAATTTTAAGGGGCCTCAGGACTTTGTGTTAACAAACAGTGACCAGAAAAGTCGGGCCTCCTGTCATTTACATCCAAGGTCATTGGATGTTTATTTTAAAGGGACTGCCAAAACAACATTAAAGTTGCCATGTAGTTGATATGTTCTTAGTCACATAACCAGTTACATTGTGTTGAAAATGAAATTCAGTCTCCACCACCTGTCAATGAACAATTGGAGATCTATCACCCTT